TGCCGGAGAATTCACCACACAATGCCAAAGGTGTTCAAGAACAAACACCAGAGAATTCATCACAGTGCCAAAAGTGCTCAAGAACAAGTGCCAGAGAATTTACTATACAATGTTTAAGAACAAACACTAGAGAATTCATCAAAGTACTGAAAGTGCCAAAGAACAAACACCGGAGAATTCACTACATAAGACCGAAGGTGTTTAAGAACAAACACAAGAAAATTCATCACAGTGCCGAAAGTGCCCCAAGGACAAATGCCGGAGAATTCACCACACAACACCGAAGGTGTTTAAGAACAAACACCAGAGAATTCATCAAAGTACTAAAAGTGCCCAAAAACAAATGTTGGAGAATTCACCACATAACGCCGAAGGTGTTCAAGAACAAACACCAGAGAATTCATCATAGTGCCAAAAGTGCCCAAGGACAAACACCAGAGAATTCACCACATAATGCCGAGAACAAACACCAGAGAATTCATCATAGCACCGAAAGTGCCAAAAGACAAATGCTGGAGAATTTACTACACAACGCCAAAGGTGTCAAGAACAAACATCAGAGAATTCATCATAGTGCCCAAGAACAAACGCCGGAGAATTTACTACACAATGCCAAAGGTATTCAAGAACACTAGTGAATTTATCACAGTGCCAAGAACAAATGCTGGAGAATTCACCACACAATGCCGAAGGTATTCAAGAACACCAGAGAATTTATCATAGTGCCAAGAACAAATACCGGAGAATTCACTACACAACTCCAAAGATATTCAAAGATACCAGAGAATTCATCACAGTGCCTGAGAACAAATTCTGGAGAATTCACCACATAATGCCGAAGATATTCAAGAACACCAGAGAATTCATCACAGTACCCGAGGACAAATGCCGGAGAATTTACTACACAACGCCAAAGATATTTAAGAACACCAGAGAATTCATCACAATGCCCAAGAACAAACGCTGGAGAGAATTCACTACACAACGCCGAAGGTGTTCAAGAACACCAGGACAAACGTTGGAGAATTTACTATACGATGCCGAAGGTGTTTAAGAACAAACACCAGAGAATTCATCACAGTGCCAAAAGTGCTCAAGGACAAATGTCAAAGAATTCACCACAATGCCGAAGGTGTTCAAGAACAAATACCAGAGAATTCATCACAGTGCCGAAAGTGCTCAAGGACAAACACCAGAGAATTCACTACACAATACTGAAGGTGTTCAAGATATACATGCTGACGAAATTATTTCAGGTCTAAAACCTGAAATTAAAATTTGAAGACAAAATTGTTTTTGATCTATTTTACTTAAAAGACGAAATTTTTTAACACTTTTTTTAAATAGACGAAATTATAAGGAGTATAAATATATAAATTTTATTTGCTCTTTCTTATAAAAAATTTTAATTTAAGAGTGTAGCGACTTAGTGAAGTGGTGGAGTTGTCGCACCTCCAGATGGCAAGTCTAGAGTTCGAATCCCACAGATGACGATTTTGAAAATACTAGATCTGTATCGGTTAACGTTAAGATTATCAGTTG